TAGGAAAAAACGACTATTCGACGGGCCAGTTTTTCGAGGCTCCTAGAAAACTTGTTCGAAAGCCGCAAAAAATCACCTCTGTGACCGAAAGCCGTACAAATAAGATAGAGGTCTAGCCATATCTCGTTCTCAGATCCTTTCGAGTCTTCTTTCCTCACGATTTCTTTCTTTATTTTCACTTACAGTTCTTTGTTTTCATACGACAGTTAGTTTTCTTTAAAAGGTTAGTCAGTACTCATTTTTCTTTAGTGAATATATACATTCATCTTCTTCGTCATAGACTGTTTCGCTTTTGTGTTTAGTTTATTTTTTATTTTTCAATTTTCTTTTATTATACACATATAGATTATGTATATGTTCATTTTTGTTCTAGTTTTTTCTCGTCTTATATATATATAATCTCTTAGTTTGTCAGTCTGACTTGTTGTTAGTCATTCGTATTTTACATCTTTTCAAATATATTCATATTATCACTGATATTCGTTTTTCACACTCGATCGCTTTTCATTAGGTATTTTTTACTGTGGTCCCTCTTATCTCCTCGTTTTCCTCGATGAGATAAAAACTCAATCTTCTAAGTGGATACTGGAAGGTCACTGGATTATAAAACTAAGAGGAACAAAATTTGGTCCATCGGCTGAAGTTCCGTTCACGATTTTGATGACAAAAATCAGTTTATCTGCTAGACAATAGAAAAGGTTGAGAGATGAATATTACTGTGAAGATTGGCAGATAGGGTCCAAACAAGCAGCACAGTAAATCCACAAAAATCTGTCAAATTTTGAATTTACATAGATTACAACAGTCCATCTAAGTCCAGTAAGTCGATGTAATCGATAAAAGCTCCTAAAGTCTACCTTTTGTCTTTGTGAAGTGTCATGCATAAAATGTTTTCTCCTTTCAAAAATACATTTATTTTCGTTTTTTAATGAAATATGATCAGCGAGAGACCTCGGCAACACTGATATATTAAATTCTAATGAACTAGATTTCTTGACATTGACAGTGAATGTCTCTGTAACGTGCACATCAGACTAAAAATGTTCAATCAATGGTGCTTTAGTCGAATGAGGATGGCTTAGGATGAAGGAAGGGAATCGTTTTCTTTTTTCTCATGACCTGATGTGAGCAAATAGCAGCACACGCAAATGCTTCTATCCCACACTTCAGTTCGTATAATCCGTTTTCTCCGTCCTTTAGCATTTCTCCGAAAACGAGCGTGCCGTCGTTTGATTGCAGGAGGACAACCCTTCGAATAAATGTGTTCGCTTGCATCCCCTCACCCTCACGCTTCATAACAACACTCAGTGGCATAAACTACCATATCCGCCGGATTAGATATAGACGATGACATGTTGGACATATAGCATTTTTTCAACCATGGCTGAGTACAATCTTGCAAAATGTGTCATCAATCTGTTCATTATTCGCATATTCATCATTCTGGATGGCATTTGCTTGCTGCTTTTCTCTGAAGAAAAATAGTTAAAAATGACACACAATGTTTCATTTCATATGCGTTAGATATTAAATAATACGTTACACGTTCGTGTTTAGGATTATGAAAGATTAACCTCTTGAATGTCGTAAGTAGGGATGTGCGGTAACCGGTAAATCCGTTTACCGTTACCGCGGTAACGGGAAAAATATTTTACCGCTACCGCAGTAAATTTCGTACGGTAAGAACTCTTTTACCGTTACCGATTTTTTGTCTCGGTAAAAAAGCTATTACCGTTCATTTTTCCGATAAATTATTTTTACCGTTGTCTCATTTCAATAAATGTTGTTTGCTTCAGAAAGGACCGTGTATTATATAATCGGCCTAGAGGCAGGGAGTTAGCGGAAATACAGATTTTGATTTTCTTAAGTAAGGAGAAGATCAAATATATCTAAAAAACTACCTATATCGTATTTGAATGACTCTACTGTTTGTGTTTCTAAATGTTCTTCAGACAAATGAATAAAAGTAATCTGAGTCATGAACAACAGTTCAAATTTCGACGCTACATATTCTTTTTCTATTCTAAAATATCGTCTATTAGATTTAATTAAAGTTTGTCTTTCAGGAACATACTATAGCTAAACCCATTAGCTTTGAGATTAACACGATTCTGCATTAATCGTCCAGATATACTAAACGCTCACCCTTACCTAAATGCAGAATGCATGAATTTATATCACCGCATGGTCAGAATTAGAAGGGAATAAAGAAATAAAAACAAAAATTTTTTTTTAACAAAAAAATTTTTACCGTTATCGCGGTAATCTCGTTTTTCGGTAAATTCATCGTACCGTTACCGCGGTAAAAAGGCTTTTACCGTTACCGACGGTAAATTACCGGTTAGCGCACATCCTTAGTCGTAAGGCATCTGTAGATGACATGAAGGAAATTTTATATGTTGCATATGCTTTTTCGTTCTATCGTTTTAACGAAAAAAAAGTGCCAGAGGAACACATCTGACGAAAAGAACAGAACGTAAAGAGAAATATTTCATCGGTTTTTTACATATGCATGCCTTTGGACGCGGAAGAGGAAAAATAACGGCATTCAAGGGGTTAATTACTGTATATTTTACAACTGTTTCTGGTGTGTCTGCTTCTTGTCGATTTCTTAATTTAGTTTTTATATGTGTTATGGTACTAAAACTTTCTTTTACACCCATTTGCTCCAAGTAGATAAATTGCTTGAATTTTGGTAAAAAGTAAATCATTCTGATGTAATAAAAAGATCAGTTTTGATAACAGCAAAAATTTGGGGTATTCCAATTATTTCCTGATCTAAATATTTTGATCTAAAGATCATCATTGTTAATTTAACACAGTTTTATCAGTTAATGGTTGATCAGTCTTTTGATATTTGTCTTTTCAACAGAGAAATTACTCTCGTTTCGTCCGTTATAGTTTTATCATTCTATTTATTCTACAATTCCGTTGGTTTTTATTCTGGTGAACACCTCAGTGATTTTTCGACGTAAAAATTCAAAAAAACATTTAAAATGGTCGGATAGAGGAGAAAAGTATATCGTTTGCCTCAGTTTTTGATGCTGATTTCGAATATGATATTTGTATTGGATAAAGGCGAAGTTCTGATGAAGACAATTGAGAATTATAGGTGAAATCCCGATTTTTTCACTCCTCAACTAGGAAAAATGAATTTTCTTAGTGATGAATCAAAATACAAAAAAAACGATTTATACTTTTAAAGCTCGTTTACTGGCGGTTCTAATGAGATAAAAAGTCAGCTTCATCTCTTCAGAAGAAAAACTAGATAGATTTACAAAACTTATTTATGAACCTCTTACAAGGCGAGTCCAAGACGTCCATACTGGATATACCTTTGATTTCAATCGTGATCAACCATCATTCTCATACTCAGTTTTTAATTCTGAATCTCAAAAAAATATTGTCAAAATGTTTGAAGAACGACAAAGAAAAGAATGTGCATTTTTTCGAAAATTTAGATCCTTCAAGTATTTCAATTTTTCGATATGAAAATAATTTTTTTCAAATATTAAAATACATATTTTCTAAATCAGCTCGATGCACTCTATCCAATCCCATGTATAACAAAATGCAAAAACAAAAATTTGCTAAATTTTCGAATTTCCGGCACCTTATTAATAATGAATAATACACAGTTGATATGAGTAATACATAGTTGTAGAATAAATAGAACGATAGAAAATGCCCGAAATGAGAGGGAACAAAACGAGAGGATATCTAACAGAGATGCAGTCAGAGATAGAAAAAAAAAGACAGAATTCCCATGTGCAGAATATTTTTTCTTTCTTAACAAAACATAAGCGCTTAGAATACATAGTTACACGTAGTCAAAATTCCTCTTTGCATAACGAGGAAGTGGATTTTTACTTCTTTCCATCTTCTTATTGAAAATGCTGCTCACCTCTATTCCTAAATCGTATAAAAAATGGTATCTTGTTACTGTGAGAACACTGGATTATCTATCCACATATCATTCATCGAACACAAAAACTACTTACCAAATGAATTATATTTAAGTTAACTACATGGCGTAAAAAAATGATTATTTCGTCTCGAAACTTTTACAGCCTGTTGATCTCGTATCAGATCTTTCTAGTCGTTTCTCTCTGAGCGAATGCACAAAATTCTTTTTTGTTCTTCTTCTGGGAAAATTCTCACAATCGCAGAGTATATGCAGATATTGTATAAAACAGTGAACTCGTGTGCAAATGGAGGACTAATTAACAGAAATAAACTTATAAATTTTATGTGAGAATCAAAGAAATGTTTTAGTAGATATATGATGCTTATTTCAACCAGTGTATTATAAAAATCCATATTCATTTGATGTGTTAAGTTTTATAAAGAGAATTAATGATGATTTTTAATCTGATGTAAACATGTGTTCGGTTAGGAGAGAAAACCACGTCGTATTCAATGTTAGGTCAATTCATTACTTTATCAAATTAGATAATTAACTTGATTGATTCTTAACGCTATTTCTATGAGGCGAATTTTTTCCATTAAGTGAAATCATCGCAATTGATATCACATATTCTCCAGTTTATTGGAATAACTCGTCTCGTATGTATGAAGTGATGTACTGTCAAAAAACATTTCTATCTTTAATAAGCTTAAAACGTTCTTACAATTCATTAAAACTACCAAGATAAAACAATAAAGAATAGAATAAATAATTGTATCTGAGTGGAAGTAAAATGATTGCAACAGTTCTCTTTAATGTAACATAAACTTTGATTTCGATTTTTCAGTTGTGACTATAGAGACGTCTTTTTTCCGTCTCACTTGGGACAATGACGATGAGCGGGTATTTGTGCATAATACAGAACTTAGTTCTGATTGTGGACTTGTTGCAATTGACTTTTATCCACATCTCTAAAGGTTGGAAGATAGTCTGAATTTGTATTTGTTTCAATTGTTTGCAGTCATAGTTAATGCTGAAACAGTTTTATATTAGTAGCAGCTAGTTTTGTCACAAAAGACGTAGAATTTTTACTTCATGAATGTCTTTGTTGCAATTCTTCATCCACTAATTGTTTTGCCAACGACGGAAAGTAAGCAGTAATATCACTGACAGATGTAAGTATACCTAATAAAAATTTAATACGTTTTTCATGTTCATCTGGCACGTTCATATCATTTTCATGAAGTATTGGTTCCAATTCATTTTCAATTTGAC